GTCATCATACGGTTGCGCAAAGGGTTGCCTAGTCATCATACGGCTGCGTGTAGGGTTATACCTATCATCATACGGTTGCGTGTAGTGCTGCGTACGGTGTGGATTCGGGGTTAGGGTTAGAGGTAGGGTTAGATGTGACAATTGTGACGTAGGAGTTTCAAATACTGGCTGACAATCTGATGCTTGTGGGAGTGGTGCGCCACTGGAAGTCTGTCAAATATGACCGCAATAGCGCGCAGCTGGTGCCCAACCGGTGGCGACGTGTCCGTGTCAGTAGCATCCACAGTCCGTCGACTTTTTGGGTGTGTATGTGACAGTGCGCGATTATTGGGAATTCCTGCGTCGTCAAAATTGTCACATCTAACGCTAAACCTAACCCTAACCCTTCCCCTAACCCTTAACCCTACCCCTAACGATAACCCTAACCTTACCCCTAACCAACACCCCTAACCCAAACCCTACGCAGCCCTACACGCAACAGCATGATGGACTACGCAACCCTTCAGGCAACCGTATGATGACTACGCAACCTTACAAGCAACCGTATGATGACTACGCAACCCTACACGCAACCGTATGATGATTGGTAAGTATGTCATTTGTTTCGTGACTTTTCCGCTCACTGTTTCGAGTGCGGCCAAGGGAGAGAACTCCCACTAAACTGAACTAAGTCGTCCAGCCCGCATCCAACCCTCGTCCGGATCTGCAAGGAGAGCCCTCACGAGTACAGTAATTGGAGGAAGTTGCAGGAGATGCGGTAGCTGCCGCTCGTGAGTCCCAGCCATCTAGTTTAGCCCCCATCCGCGCCACGCGCGGGGGATACGCTCGGCGGTGAGGCACATCATCAGACGCAGGTCGGCAAGTAACGCCCTATCGCCGAGACCCTGTCAGAGCCATTTGTTTCGTTATCCGGAGCCGGCACATATATTTTTAATAGAACTGACCCGCATTGGGATATTTTTGGATATTTTATGGCCAGAAATTGGCCAATTTGCTCCCTTTTGAACGCCATCATATTAAAGCCGCCATTTTGGGGAACGATTCAAAGAAGCGCCGAACATTTTATGCTTATTAAATCTATGTCATTGGAGGTTAGGAAAAGAATTCTCGTATGTTATAAAGAGCCAGTTTTAACATACAACAATTAATAAACAGGCAGAACCATTTCGTTGTGCCTCGGAGATGAGGTTTTACAAAAGAATCCTTATAATTCCTTGGACAGCTAAAAAGAGAAATCCAGATGTTCTGAAAGAGGCGAGGGCTCAGAGACAACTTATCACACACGTCAGAGTCACTCATCATTTTTTGGTCATCATCATGTGCCCTGCCAACCGGCGTAGGCGCTCATGCGTCTCCACAGATCCCGATTCCTGTTTGCCTGGAAAAGCTCTCTTGATGATATCCCCCCATGCCATCGTGTCAGCCCATCCAGCATTATCTCTCTTGGTCTGCCTCTACCCCTTCTCCCACTGATCTTTCGCCGATATTTGGATCTGTCCCCTTTAATCGCATCAACAATGCAGAAGCCGTTTTCAGGGTTTTTCGTGGCGTGTAATATGCTGAACCATTTTATACGGGTATATAACCTGATCACAATTATAACGCAAAGCTCCCTCTTCGGGAATGCTGTGTGAAGGTAAAAAAAAATTTTTTGGGAGCAAAACAACGGAATGGTTACACCAGTCAGGGGGGTCCTGAAATTCGATATGGGTAAGGACCAACTGGGTAATAAAATATACAAGTCTGGCATCATACGCACGATGTACTACTGGTATATTTATAATAAACAAACAGACGATGTATTGATTGACACTCACAGAAAGAAGTATAAAGACAGAAGGAAACACCAGACAACATAAAATTTGAAAGCTAAAGTTACCGTCCCATGGACTGCCAGAGTAACTAACGAGGATTGCTTGAAGGAAGCTAATGAAAGCAGATTAATATAAACAGCTATGAGAAAAAGACAAGAACTGTTCTTTGGTCATGTGATGAGGGTAGGGAGAGGGTTTGGAGAATGTTGTAACCACTGGGAAGATGAACCGTAGTAGACAGAGAGGCAGACCAAGAGAGATGACGATGGATGGACTGCGATGGTGGCATGGAGGGATATCATCAGGTATGAAGGGATATCAACGGTGGCACGGAGGGATATCATCGGTGGCACGGTGGGATATCATCGGTGGCATGATGGGATATCATCGGTGGCACTGAGGGATATCATCGGTGGCACGGTGGGATAAAGTGGACACCACACAAATCAGGCAACGTCTCGACCCACACAAAAAAATGGCCACAGTCAACCTAGAAATAGGCCTGACGTCTTCCTTCGAAGTCGGAGTACAGCTGCCCATGAGGCAGGGAAATGAAAAACGGTTGTACACGCAAAAATCAGGTCCAGGTGAAAGCCAAAAGTCCAAGCGGACGATTAACCGGGACCTTCCACTGGAATTCACAGCCGGTGATCGATAAAAAAAAAAAAAAAAAACATCTACTGTGGGAGACAGAGCATCTGTGGGTATGTCTGGTGTGCTATAATGTCAATTCTTTAATCAGTAAATTAGTAGGTAGTCAAGTCTAAGTACAACCCTCTGTCTCGTGTGTTTTGAATCGACTCTGACACAAATGATCTTCCGTGTCATGATGACTGGCCAGCATCTTCTCTCTCGGTCTCCCTCTGACTCATTTCCCTCCAAAATTCACACCATACGATGTATGTACTCTAGTGATCTCTTTCTCATGAGATGATCCCAAAAATAAAAAGTCTGTCTGGATGGGACTTAAAACTCAACACCTTCAGATTAAACCTAGCAATGCACCACCTTGACCCCTTACAGGTTTTGTGTGAGTGTATGTGTCTAGAGTGGAAAGGTGCTAGTATTCACCAGGAAGTGTCTAAACCAGGTGCCCATAATCATCACAGTGTCTTTACAGTAGCGCTGAAATAATGATGCATATAAAAGGTGCCAGTAATGTGTAACGTTGTGTTACTGGTACCATCAGAATTTTAACTCTTCGCTTGCTGCTGAAGATAGGGATGGAGCACTTATGAGGGTTCCTGAGTGCTGTGATGTCGATTCCTAAATCAACATTCAACATTGATCTGGCAGCTTATGTAGCATGCTTTGTTCCAAACATATTAGTAACCTCTCCTTTGGGGTTGAATAACAAAGCAGGCATAGAGAGAGATAGAGAGAGAGAGAGAGAGAGAGAGAGATCACTCTGCTTGGGCAGCACATGGTCTCTACAGTACCGCCCAGAGTTTTTGCTATGGAGAGGAGGAATCTCATCCCAGGCCTCAACTGATATCACCATGGTCTGTGATTTCCAGCCTCCCTAAGAACAATGGAACATTATCCCATAGAAAGAAGGAAAGTCAGTTGTTAGTTGAGGTTCCAGCATCCCTGCAGGCAGGTCATCCCATAACTGCTCTCTTCACATTGAACAAGGATCAAAGAATGCCTAAATAAATGTTATTGTTTCTTTCCATACATTACACTCATTTCTTAAAATGCTAAGTAAAGTGCCTTGGTTACATGGATAGTAAATGATCATTGCTGAATTACAGTGTTTTGTATGAGTTAACCCTTTTCAGGCCCATGAAGTTTGACAGACTTGGCTCACATTAACTTTCCCTTACAAAAATGGCAGACGGGGTGGTGTACACAAAAGGCAACTGAGAATGTAATATATTTATAATCCCAACAAAAGTATATATATATTTTTTTTTAAAGGGAATGAATGTATATTTTGAATCTGGTGATATACAGTTGCTTAATACCCCAGTTAATGGAGAAAAAAATGACTTCAACAAGTGTTATGTATACAAAGATGAAATTTTACTAAAAACAATCTTCACTTTTCATCATTTTGCAGCCACAAGAGCAGTGAATATCCAAATTGGAGAATAATAAAGTGTGTTCAGTTTCCCAGCAAATTCAAAAGCTATAAGATGTTTCTGGGTTAGTTTATTACTCTGAGGCTGTCTATTCTCATAGATGCTGAACAAAATTTCAAAGAAAAGAATGGCAGAAAACTGGACCTTCACACACTAAATATTAACTTTGTATTTATAAAGTTACACAGATTGTCGCTGCAATTTCTTTGCAGCTTAGCCATAGTATGAGTGTGGTACTATCTGAAACAGTCCTTTGAATGCAAATGTGGGTGACTATCGCATCCTTTGCAAAAGAAAAGGGTCCTCCAGGGTTTACCTCATCAGAACAAACAGCTAACTGCTCAGCTGCCGCTGGTGTAAATTCCATATCCGAATCATTTGCCGAAAAATTTAAATTCATCATTATCATTATCACAGTTGCAAAATATCTGACTGAAACAATTTCAGATCTTCAGCCACAGAAAGGCAAATTTTTCGGCCTGTGCTTGTGTTTGGAACATCGGTATCCGTGGCCAATTGAGTAGAAAAAAAGGCTGTCTTAAAAATTATGCTAGCAATGAATCAGATCAATCTGCTCCCACGAGTGTCTGAACAAAGCTCTTTAAATCTTTGAGTCCCATGGGGTTTAGCATCACAGGCCCAGGGGGTAGTAAAGAAAATGATAAAATAGGCGCATCATGCGTTCATTGGGCTTCTAGGTAGGAACCTATAAACGTATGACGCGTTTCTTGGGACTCAAAGAGTTAAACAAAGCAAAATATTACAGTTACCTTCCCTGAATACTTTAATGGTCGTTCTAAACATTAGAAACTCATACGGAGCCTTTTGTGAAAGTATGTACAGGGAATATGATCGACGCTGACAGTGTTGTTTGGGTAAATCAAAACTTCTCAATCCCCACACACAGCTAATTGTGCCAGGATTTAGCCTTTTGGTCGAAAACATCCAATTTAAGTAAATCCTTAGTCATCTTTATGGGGAAAAGGGGGGGGGGGGGGTGTAGTATACAACACCCCCCCCCCCCCCCCCAGGTCAAAGAACCAACAAGAGAAAGACTGATATGTTAGATGACGTTATTTCAGACAACATCAAGAGAACTTGCCTATCACTTTGTAGCCCGACTGGAGATGAGTAGTCTCCCATCACGCTATAAGTAGTGTCTGTATCAGCCTTATCTGCAGGAGCCAGCAACTCTTGCAGGAATCTGAAATCTGCAAGCATAGGAAAATATAAAATTAATGTCGACGCTAATTTCTTATTTATAATAGGTTCACTTCAAAATGGTCCCCACGTTAGTTCTGGAAAACAAAAAGAATAGATCCTCCGCCTTCTAACAAGCACTTTGTAAGAGTGGACTAATTAGGGTTTCTTCCTTCAGTCGGAGTGCATCTACCTGACAGGCGAGGAGCCAAGAGTCTGCATAAACAAAAGCAAGATCTGTAAAACAGATATGCATGCAAACCTCAGGTTCTGGAACAAGACTAAAGTCCAGAAGGGATGGAGCTTTCCGCCAAAATAAGCTGCCTATACTTCCCAGGTCATTACCTCATACTATTTTAGTCTGAGACAACCTGGGAGCCAAGGTAAATTTTTTTTAAATCTGTCTCAATGTGGACTGAAACCTGAGACCTTTGAGCTATAGATAAGTGTCTAGCCACTAGACTCTGCAACTTCCCAGACTGACATGACTCAAAATAAGGACATATGACAACTGACGGTAATAACTTCTTCCAATAAAAAAATGTTACAGGATCAGCTAATTGGAGGAAATCATCATAAAGTATCTTGCCAACCAGCATGGATCATCATATTCCCAACCTGTGATTGCCAACCAGCATGGATCATCATTTTCCCAACCTGTGATTGCCAACCAGCATGGATTATCATATTCCCAAACTGTGATTGCCAACCAGCATGGATCATCATATTCCCAACCTGTGATTGCCAACCAGCATGGATCATCATATTCCCAAACTGTGATTGCCAACCAGCATGGATCATCATATTCCCAACCTGTGATTGCCAACCAGCATGGATCATCATATTCCCAACCTGTGATTGCCAACCAGCATGGATCATCATATTCCCAACATCATATTCCCAACCTGTGATTGCCAACCAGCATGGATCATCATATTCCCAACATCATATTCCCAACCTGTGATTGCCAACCAGCATGGATCATCATATTCCCAACATCATATTCCCAAACTGTGATTGCCAACCAGCATGGATCATCATATTCGCAACCTGTGACTGCCAACCAGCATGGATCATCATATTCCCAACCTGTGATTGCCAACAGCATGGATCATCATATTCCCAACCTGTGACTGCCAACCAGCATGGATCATCACATTCCCAACCTGTGACTGCCAACCAGCATGGATCATCACATTCCCAACCTGTGATTGCCAACCAGCATGGATCATCATATTCCCAACCTGTGACTGCCAACCAGCATGGATCATCATATTCCCAACCTGTGATTGCCAACCAGAATGGATCATCATATTCACAACCTAGCATATGATGCTAGACATACTTTGACCGACCAAAATGCATATGGTGAGTAATGTGGTAAACATCCTGCCAGCTGCCTTTACTTCCCAGGTCATTACCTCATACTATTTTAGTCTGATCAACCTGGGAGCCAAGGTAAATTTTTTTAAATCTGTCTCAATGTGGACTGAAACCTGAGACCTTTGAGCTATAGGTGAGTGTCTGGCCACTAGACTCTGCGACTTCCCAGACTCAATGAAAAATTTTTGTAAATAATTTTTTTTTTTTTTAAATTTAAATATCACTGTTGTTGTTGTTGTTGTTGTTGTGTGCTAACTCATTTTTGTTGGCAGGACTCGATCAAGTTTTAGGCTGAATCTGCTTGCCCCAGAATGAGGCTAATATCCGCCTGAATGTGCTTCTTCTCCCCAGTAAGTCACTGACACAATAAGAGAGGTCAGGTTTGGTAAATGCCACCCAACTTTAGGCATTTAACAAAACAAAACAAAAAAGAAAGAAAGAAAAAAAAGATAGGTAGTATCAGTGATTACGACACATAACTTACTTTTCTTAGGCTCATGAGGAAGTGTGTATGGCGCTGGTTTAGGCACTCGATCTCTAGGAGCAGGTGTATCCAGGTGAGATCCCTGTAACTCTCTGACCTCACTCAGGTAGTTATGGTGTTTGCTAATGATGTCAGGGTTGAAGGTGGGTTGGTTGTGAGCACTGGTGTTATATGCAGACTTGCTGTGAGTACTGGGTTTATTTACAGGTTGGTTTCGGGCACTAGGATGGTGGTAAGAAGAGAGCTCTCCCGGGTGTGGCACCATATCAGGGCGTCTGACAACTGTCTGAGGAATGTGACTGGTCTGAACTGGTCTAGATGTGTGGCCATGGCTGTTGTGACCTCTCGGCTGGGACATGAACAGAAGCTGAGCCTGAAAAATAATAAATACAAGTCTTTAGTCATTAGTCGTTAGTCATTACGGTTCCGGCATCATAGCAAACGAGCTAGGCCCATAACTGCTCAACTGCCTATGCCAGTTATTCCAGTTAAACAAGTCTTTACACAGAAGAAGCCTTATTACAGGTTTTTGAAAACAGTCTTATGGCGAATCTTTGGACCCATCAAAGATGCAAACAGCAGTGAATGGAGAGTGAGAAGCAACAACGAAATGCATAATCTGTTTAAATCGCCACTTATCACTGGCATCATGAGAGCTAATAGACTGAAATGGCTGAGGCATATTGAAAGAATGTCAGATGACAGAGAAGTAAAAACTGTATGTATGAGGGAGATGAATGGTTGTAGACCACGAGGCAGACCGCGAAGACAATGGAGAGATAATATCCAGACAGACCTGCAAACCCTTGGTATCACCAAACACTTGGTGTCACCAACTGGAAAGAGAAGACCAACCAGACATATGAATGGATGCGGGTGATATCTGCAGCAATGAACCTCAAGGGCTCAGAATGCTGAATAAGAAGAAGAAGATCTACACAATTAATGTTTCCATTGTTCTTTCATTATTGTTTTAAGCTAACTCATTTTAGTTTGTAAGCATGCCAGAGGTCAAAGGGAGTGCACATGAATATTTATGAGTACATTGACAGCAGCTAGTGTAAAATACTCAAGCCACTTAAAATTGTAAAGCAGGTGTTGCTTGAAATCCACGGTTAACTGTGGAAACCTTGGGTATTGCCAGGTGGGCCTCTGGTGGGAAAAGTCCTGATAAGAATTATACCAGTACTAGAGAAACTCAAAAGATTACTATAATACAGTAATTAACTAATAAACTTTCATTTGTAAACCCAATAAAAAGAGACACTATATTACTAATAGGCTTATCAGGTCAAAAGAAGAAGTACTCCCCTTCTGAGACTGCATCCTGTATTTCAGATGTCAATCGTAAAAAAATTGACAGATATCCTGTTCTTATAAAATGGTTATAACTGATGATTAATACGTTCAAGTGAAGTTCACTATGGAGGATACAAATGTTATTCTAGGAAGAAGAAATGCAACCTGAAAACAGTGTTGTGCCAGAGCAGACCAGGTTCTCAGCCTTGGTTGGCAGCTGGTCTAGAAGGGAAACTATGACAAGCTCAGACAGACAGACAGACAGACAGACAGACAGACAGAGCACTGCTTTTCTGATCCAGCAGCTTCTGCAGCTTGCTTTATTCCAAACTTATTGATGATATCTTTCCCTTTGAGTAAACAAGGCAGGCCGAAACCTGGATCCTGTTGTATGGGCAACACATCGTCTCTGTCTAGGCTTTGTCATTATGTAGCAGATCCTTTGCGAGGTGTCGCTCTTATCACAGTCTGCCTGAAAGAAACTCAGTCTCTCACAAGCTTTCCTGCCTCGTGTACTTTCAAATTCAAGGAGCCACTTATATCCTGTGCCCATCTTCGTGTCGGTCAGCCCCTGCCCCTCCTTCCTGTCTTCCTAGTACCATGCCTTCTGCTGTTATTTTTTCAAATCCACCATGGCACCTGATGTGACCAAAATATTTCAGCTTCCAAGACACGACACTGTTTATAAGCCAAACTTCCTTGATGTTCAGATCTTTTAAAAGTTAGTGTTTTTTCTCCTTTACCAGGCTTTGTACTATGTAATAATTTGAGTAGAAAGACAGAAAGATGCCAACAATGACTACCCCAAGTATTACAATGTCTTAGGTTAGTGAGAAAGCTATCAAGTTTGTATATCAACTATTTGTGTCCTTTCTTACTATCTCCTAAAATTAAAACAGAAAAATCAAACACTCACTTGCAACTGCATTTGTTGTTGCTGTAGGTTCTCCAGATGTTCAAATCTTCTTTCATTCAACTCTGCAACTTGTCTTTCCAGATCCCTAATCCTGTTTTCCGACTCTGCAGATTTTGCAACCGCTCCAGTGATGCCTGCTTTTTGCTGCAAGTCTGTTATCTGTGCCACCAACTGTTGCATTTTGGTCTCCAGCTCAAACTGCGTCTGTAATAAAATTCAAGATGCTAAAATAACACCTGTTTACACATACAAAAATCTATTAAAATGGAAAAATGTTATCAATGCCATGTGCAGCACTTACTATACCGAGAAGCACGCCAAAGAACATGACTCTGTATCTCTGTCTAGATTGATGGACATGGGGGTGCAGCCTGGAGTTGCAAGAAATGAACATTTCATTCAGAGGACAAGACTTTTTATGAACTAACACAGAACAAGCGTCATCAGTCGTTTTACACTTGTGGAGCTTTCTTAAGAGATCGGAGAACCTATGGATCTGTCCGGAGTGCTGTGATGATAATCCTTCCTAATCACTCATCACTAATGGAAAAAATCACATGTCATCTGCACAAAGATGGTTGGCAACAGATTTCCAACAAACTCCATCAGTCACGCTAGCTGGCGTTTCTCATTCTCTTCATGTCATCCTTTCACTTATAACACTGCCCGCTTCTTGCTCATCTGCCTTCTTTTCCCCCTAGTATTGCTTTGATAAGATGTTTATATGTTTTAATGCCAGAAAGGCTTACCCGGGCATCAAATGGCTGCAGAAGTCTGATGTGTTGGCCGAAAGGTGCAAACATTACAGCCATATTGTAAACTGGCACAATGCATCTATATCTTCAGATGAATGCAGAAGAAGATATATTTTAACACAGCCAAAATATTACACTTACCTTTCTTTTATTTCTTTCAATGACTTTTAATTCTGAATCTCTGCACAACTTTTTTTTTCCAATGAAAAATTACCTATTTTTCATACAACATATTCTTCTGGTCGTACATGCAACAATCGATCTGCTTGTCCAATGACCAGGTTAAGCAACAAAAACATTTGTTTATTCTCATCTTGACCACAACATTTAAATTGAATGAGAACAGCACAAAGAAACTGGAAACCAGAGATGGACTGACCAATCGATCGACCAGTTTGTCCCATAGGGACCGCCACCTAAAGGATTGCAATAAAGATCCAAAAATCTTAATATGGAAGTCAGACCAATAAGGCAGATCCCAGATAGCCTGTTCAACCTCCAAAGAAGTTACAATTAGGGCACCTGTTACGGTTACACCAGCCTGGTGTCACCTGCAGTCCTATCAGGTTTAGGTTTAGACGACGGATCAACATTATGGTACAAGGGTAGTAGCCCATAAATGCTCTATTCTACTTCTGACACAAGCCTGAGTTGGAAGAATCTCAGCGCAGTGTACAAACTCCATAGCACCATTTGGGGATCCTGAAATACTTTAGGTAGATTTTCAAACTCCAAACTTTTTTGCCAGGCGTTTGCCGTTAGGCTATTCTTTTCAATTTCCAACTGCCAAGGACTTTTTTTTACGTGCACAACAATACACATGGGCATCCAATCATACTACCCAGAGACCAGGGGAAATTACTAGAAGCCCATGTGAAAAAATCACAGATGTGATTTCTAAATAAAATGAAAGAATCCTATAGACGACTGTATCAAAGCACTGCAAAGAAGGCCAATTCCCATAAAACTATTTGATTATCCACACCAGCCAAGAATGGCTATTAATCTGGCCACTGTGAGGTGAGAGGCTTTTAAAACAGCTCATCCCCAAATTACACTACTTTAAGCATAACCTTCTACACACTTGTTTGCAAGCGGAAGACAAAAAAGTGGCGGGGTTTTTTTTCCAGGCTTCCCTCGATACCCCTCCATGACCTAAAAGGTCAAGGGTTATGTTATGTTATAACAAAATAGAAATTTACGTGTCTGGCAAATGAGGCTAGACTTATAGGGTGCTAATATCGTGGTCTGGGAAAAAATAGGTAGACTTTTAGAGGGTAAATAGGATGGTCTGGAAAGTAGTAGGCGACTTTTAGGGTCTAAATATTGATGGTCTGAAAATATAAGGCAAAAAGGGGGC